TTCCTTAATTCCAAATGGTTGGGCAAAAAGATTCAAAGTAATGTAAGAGAGAATCCAACATACAGAAGATTTTCAAATTTGATGATACCATTCTTCCAAATATAAAAAATAAGCTGGAAAAGGAATCACAAAGAACAAACAATTGGATTGTTAGTTAATGCTTTATACTTGTTTGAGAACAAACAGTTGATATAAAATTGGTCCATAATTGATTGCATTTGTAACAGGCGTGCAGGTGAATTTGACTACGAGGTTAGGCATATATCTTTTTACTGAGAACTTTGGTAAACAACCGCTAGTTTATCAATTTAGGGTAAAATTGAGTAACTTGCAAGCTCGACCATACTAAATCCTAGGACATGTGATAAGTATGTAAAAAGATCCTAATTTGAACTTCAAGTTCGACTATGAAATCTTTGTAAAGTAAAAGTAACTTGAAGATTAAAGGAAGTATCTAAAACAAAGCAAGTAATGCGTCGAAGATTAAAGGCAATAACGTAACTATGCGAAAGATTATAATCTGAACTCTGTGTTCGACTAGAAAATCTTCAAAAGTAAATGCAGTAATTGTAAATAACTTTGAAAATAAAGGTGCAAAAGATTCTAATCTGAACTCCACGTTCGACCATAAAATCTTTGTAAGGTAAATGACTTTAACATAAAAAGCTTGAAATAAGTGCAGAATGTTTAAATTTGCGTGAAAAATAAATGAAAGTAAGTTTGCATAAAGACTTGGAAAAAAGGGCAGTTTAAACGTAAAACCTGAAGGTTAAAGTGCAGAATGAGTAAAAACACATATATGGTAAAGGCAAGTAAATTGCGTTAATGAAAAGGAGTTGGTGTTGTATCACGTACATTCTCGCTAACTCGTTTCTCTACACGCGGGTACTTTGAGTGTTTTGGAGTGACTAGTACAAGATGAATGAACACCTTTATTACATAAAAATAACAAATATTTATAATGCTAACAATGAACTACTAGATGACGGTTATGGCTTCACAACGTGTCTTTTTGGCGCTTTTTTACAACTTCAACTGCTCCCACGTTCGCCCACTATCAATTTGAACTTAGACACTACGAATTCCCTCCAGCTTTAATGGTAACTGCCTTGCATTTTACTTAACATGATCCAGGTCGAGAGCTTCTCCAACACTTAGCATTTTTCTAGAAACTTTGTCCACCTTTCTTTGACTCATATTTCCTCATAGTTGTGATGAAGCCTTCACATGTTTTTAGAATTACATTCTGACTTAAGATAATTCTGAATTCTACTAGCGTCGAAAATGAGAGCTAACAATATCACTCAATGGAGAAAAGTTTGTTGTTAATCTATCAAAACATGAGTGTTCGTGTAGAAGGTGGATGTTGACAGGGCTTCCAGGTCTCATGCAATTTCATGTTTGAAATATCAGCATTTACAAGTAGATGATTTTGTGCCTGATTATTACAAAAAGAAGTGTTATGAGGTTTGTTATGCACCAGTGATTTATCTAGTTAATGGAGAATCTCTTTGTACAAAAAGAGATGTTGTTGACCTGCAACCACACCCCATAAAAGACAGCCTGGTAAACTCAAGAAGAAAAGGAACAAGGAGGCTAGGGAACAAGTGAGAAATGAGACACAACTCAAAAGAGAAAAATTTGGTATCAAATGCAGTCGGTGCCATAAGGATGGTCACAATAAGGCCACTTGTAAGCTGTCTATAATTGTTGTTATTTCAACTCAGGCAACTCCAACTGTTGTTACTTCAACTCAGGCAACCCCGCCTACTACCTCAAGTCAACTAACCCCAACTACTACCTGAACTCAACCACCACTGCCTCTTGCTTCAAGTCAGGAAACAACAATTGTATTTTCATCTAAGTCAACACCAGATGGATGTTCAACTCACCAACCACCCAAAAAGAAAGAGACTTTAAAAGGGCCTTAAGCCAGTTCTGAGCCAACCATAATAGTTATGTTGATCTTTGATGTGTACTAGTTATGCCACTTGTGACTTATTTTATAGTTTATGACTTATGGCTTATGCCACTTATGCCTATTTTGTAGTTATGCACTTTGATGCCACTTTGTGGTTTTCTGCTGCTTAAAATATGACATACAATGCCTATTTTGTAATTTATGACTTATGGCTTACAATGTCACTTTTGTTATGACTTATAATGCAACTATTGTTATGACCCCATAATGTAATTTTTGTTATCACTTGAAATGCAACTTTTGTTATGGTTATGGCTTATTATTGGAATGATAAGGAATGTTATGGTTATATTACACCAAATTAAAATGCTAGTTCCAAATTAAAAAGTGCATCTGTTCCGATATATTATGAGAAACAGAAGTAACATTTCTCCAAATTAAAAGTCTATTTGTTCTGATATATTCATGAAAAACAAAAGTAACATTTCGCTAATATCATCATGACAAATACATTTCACTGATAAATGTTAACACATAATAACAATGTTGACAGACACATATCATGACATATACATTTCAACCTTCTTGTTGACCGATACATTTCACTACTAAAGTTTTACATATACATCTCATTACATAGACAAAAATACAACCTAAAACTACATTGTTACAAATACAACATTAAACACTATGCTAAATATTTCAACCACAATGAACACTTTCACCATCCTCTAGTATGGATGATCTCATTCTTTAATTTGTAAATTTTTCTCTTTGCCTCTGAATCTTCAAATCCCTTTCATCAACAATGTCGTCATCTAACCATTTGAAGAAATTACAACCCTTATTCACATGATTCATGTAATTTCTACAACCTCATAACTTTTTCCCAAAATTAACACTATTCATGTCACCCACCATATGAAGGACACATTTATCTTGGCAATAACACTCCATCCTCTTGTTTCAGCTGTTCCAATTGAAGCACTACTTGACAACTTAAACATTAAAGAATATTAAAACCCTAAAAATGGAGACAAGATGAAATGAAGAAAAATTGATGAAATCCTTTCTGCAATCCCAGGCAACAAAAACGAAGAGATTAAGAAATCAAGAAAAAAACACCAACGCAGTGAATATGTGATACACACGAATACTTTTCTGAAAAATATGAAGAGCTTTGCTACAAATTAAACCCTTAAATAATGATTTATTTATCATTTTGCCGAGTCATTACACAATTGACACGCCACGTTGACAATGACTAACGATTTTACAGTTGAACTAACAGAAAGGGTCGATTATGCTAACGGAACTAATATTACAAAACCAAAATATAACGATATTTTATTGAATAACTAAATCAAAACTCAAAATTAACTTACGAGACTTGAAGACTAATTATACCTTAAAAAAACATAATCAGACATATCTTAGACCCTGATTACTAGTGTATTTGACTTATTCTTATCCTAGTAATAGTTTAATGTGATAAATAATTTAATACAGTAGCTAAAATGAAATCAAAATTATAGAAAGAAAAAAAAACTATTTTGACTATGGGAAGTACAGGCGGTGAGAGTGGCCATTGCATTTGGCATTGACTTCCTATTTGAAGATGACAACAGGTGGGACAATGAATTGTGTGAATAAAACATAAATATTTCCTATTTTTATAAAATTCATCTAAAGCTTTAAGTAATTTTTTAAAAAATATGATGGAATATTAGAACTTTAAGGCTGACAACAAATTGAATCAACTCGACAATAGTTTGAAATTCAATTCGTCAATTAATCTTAAATATGTACTTATGTATGAGTAGTTATGACAGTAAAACCGACAATTGCATCTAGAATCATCATTGTTGGAGGCATAAAGACATTTGGTAAAATAACATTTGTAACGAAGATTACAAGAGGTGTAGTGTAAGTGATGGAAATGTATTCTAGTAATTTTTGGGGTACTACTTCATTAAAATTGTATGTATGGTTCCTAAATATTTAGACGAAGTCGTGAATTTTTAAGACAAATTTAAACTTCAATTAAGTAGTTTTTTAATTAGACTTGGTGTAATTTTTAAATTAATAGATTTTTGAGATAAAGTTAAATTTCAATTAGATAAATTTTATTTTATTTTAACATTTTCTTTTTTAAAAAATATTAATTTAAAATATCCAAATATATATAAAATAAAAATACAACAGACTTAAAAATATAGACTTAAATGCTTTTAAGTTTGTGAACCAAGTAAATTAAAATTAATGAGATAAATTTAACGAATTGAACCGAACTGTTCGTGAATGTATAACGAATCAAATTTAAACTTAAAAAAAATTGTGTCAAACTCAAACCAATATTTAAACTGAACCAATTCTTAACGAGTCTAACCGAACTGTGTTCGTCTCATTTCCAACCCTAATCAAAATGGTTCACCAATAAACCACCTATTTGATGGCTTACCCCTACAAGCCACCCTAAAAAATACGAGTATCCTACAAAAACTGTCGATTAATCATTTAAACTCACGTAGAATATCTTCAGTTTCCTAAAGAAAAGAAACTATCATCAGTGTGTGAGAGAAAAAAGTTTATCTCTTCGTAGGAAAAAGTAAAGTTTAGGCGTTGCTATTATCGCCTATCGTTTATTTCCTATTTCAGTTGTATACCAATCTAGAAAAAACACTCTCTTTTCCCTATTACTCTTCTACTTGCAATTTCATCGACAACGAAGAAAAAAAAAGTACCAACACACAAATCAAGGTCTAAGATAATATCATATCACCATATTGTATTATTATCCTCGTTTACAAAAGATGGTCTAATATGAAGTCTTTATTAAAAATCCAACTCCTTAAGACTTAAGATCATACTGCAAACTGAAAACAAGCATGACAACAACCACTGGCACAGACTTCATGCAAAAGTAACAGATTAAACACCAAGTGCAGTCATATAGCCATTGAGATTTCAATACAAACAAAAATACATTATCCAGCAGTACAGATCACACATAAACAAGCAGATGAGTGCAATTTATTCTTCTAAAGCTTCAACATCACGCACAATGGAGAGGGGTAATCTATCCTTGCAACCCAATAATACCTACAATAAAGAGGGGACAAAGGAGACCCAGAGTCAATATAGCAAATGAAAGGGGGAAAACAGAAGTCTGAATTTAGATGAAATGTTAAAACCAACAAAGACAGTAACAGAACAAACTTTTAAGCCTTAACTTTTAGCATCATGTCCTTTTTTTTAAATGCATAGGGAATGTCTTAAAAAAACATGATTTACTATTAAATGTATGCTTACCACAAGCTACTCTGCCACCAGCATTTCCAGTAGTTTTGCTAAGCTCGTGACCACCTATACAACAGAACCGAGATGACGTGTTATGCAAATTATTACGTAGGATAAAAAAAAATTCACATGCGAGGAATTGTGGCATATTATGTCAAGCTGCTGCTAGCAACACAATATTTTGAATACACTCTTGATTTTGTCATGATCAATTAGCAACTTACACAAGGCAATTAAATAGACTTTTTAAATATTAACCAATCACAAAGTATATTCAAAAGAGCATGTTAAGATCCCTTTATTATAAATGGGGTGATAGATGACACAGATGTTCTTTTGAGTACCTTTCCCAAGATCATCAGGATCGGCGTGGACAACAACAGCCCTTCCAATGATGGAGTTTGATCCAGTAAGAGGGATCTGCCAACAGTTAGTAACCAATTAAAAGTTGAAACTTTCAAGTCTTGTTATCAATTTAGAATAATTCATCAGAAATTATGTTCAAGAGATGAATAACATACCTGGTTGTCAGTAATGGTGAAGCTTACAGTTCCTGAGTTACACAACCAGAGGAAACCATTTTAAAATTAAAACCAAACAAACACATCTAAAAGTAGAACTGCCACCAAAAATCAAAATCAAGTGGCCTGGAAAAGCAAATAAATAAAGAACATAGACATACCATCATCACCAACATTGATGTTTCCTAAATCACCAGCATGTCTAGTCTCATCCTCAGGGGCACCATGTTCCTTCCCATTAGGATTGAAATGTGGTCCTGTAATAAAAAATGTTTAAAAGATGAGGTTTTGTAATAGAACTAAATGATGATAGAATTGCAGAATTTAAATTTGGTCTCTTACACAATTCATTCTCAGCTAGGAACTTTGAAGATATAACAAATGAAACATATACAAAGATAAAAATCTCCCAAGAAAAAATGTTCCGCTTTCTATTCATTCAAGTTAAAATGAGAGCTTAATTTTTGTTCAGACTCATACTCAATAGTGCCTCAAGAACTATGAAGCACGGACACCAGAAACATGACATCGACACTGACACAGACACACTTTTTTCCAAAGGTGTAGGTGCTACAAAGCTCAAAACATTACAAATGAAATGAGTTATCGTCAAAGGACTTTTACCAGTTGAAATGCAACCGTTTGTGGTGTCTCCCAAGGCATGGATATGGAAACCATGGAGGCCAGGCTTAAGACCAGCCAGAGTTCCAGTTACAGTGGTTGGACCTGCACAATTCACAATACAAATTTATTTGATTTGGCTTAGCACAGTAGCCAGAAACTAAGCCCTAAAACCCTAATCATCACGAAAATCACACACTGTCAAAACTTACCATTTCCTTCCTGACTGAAGTTAATAGTACCCGAGACTTCGTTACTGTTACTAAGAACTGCCACAGCCTTCACCATTGTTCAATGTGATCTGAACAAAACAGCAATTTAGAACAAAACAATTAAACAAAAAAAAATCTTACAAACTTTTCAAAACATTAAATAAAAATATACCTATGTTCAATTGCTAAAGAATCTCTTGCAAATAGCCAATAAGAGAATGAAATTAATTATTTAATCTAATTACAAGTAAACTTAAGGTTATCAAGTCCAAAAAATTAGGGTTTATCAAGTCGAAAAGCAGAACCTCCAAATTCAACACTGTCTAATCAGCTGTTGATTAGATAGATTCAGTCGAGTTAAGTCCAAAACAACACAAACCGATTCCGATTCATTCAAATTCCTCAAGAACAATGATATAGGTCAAATTCAATACGATTAATCTAAAATTATTATAATATTTTGGAAAATAATACAGATCCACGAAACAGCTAGGTTTTTGGAATAATCAAATCAGGAGTAAGGAAAGTGATTGATCATCACGATATTACAAGAAATTAAACAAACTTGGGATTATCGATCGTAAACAAAATACGAAAGCGTGAAAAAAAAATATATGAGAGAGATGCAAGAACATGGGAAAGAAAAATGAAACTAACGGAAAATGAATTGATCGGTGAAAAACGAAGCATTCATACCTCAGGACACCCCAGCAGCGAGTACAGAGAAGAGAATAGAAATGAAATGGAATAGTCTAGAAGTAGGTGATGAATGAATGAAGCTGCGTGTTTGTTTTGGTTTTTTATATGTGAGCAGGACACCGCGAGTTGCACACCGTCCGGTTATTACCTTCACCTACCCAGCTGCCACCTCATTATTAATATCTCTTAATGTAACAAAATTAAATTAATTGTTCCAGTAAATACGTATTACAACTCTTAACTAATAAACATTAATTTAATCTCTGAGTAACTCATTTAAAATAAATTAATATATTTTAAAATGAATGACACATTTTAATTTTTAGTATAGTTTTTTTAATTTTGTCTTTTAATTAATATTATTTTTATCATTTTTAATAGATGATAAGAATAATTTAATAAAAATATTATTCTCTCTTTTATTTAGAGAATGATTTAATTTTTTAAAACTAATTAATCTATTAAATTTTGTGAAAAAAATATTAAGTTGTTGTGAATATGTCACATTTTAGTTTGAGTTATGATATCTAACATGGCTTTTTATTAAGTTTAAATTGTAATTTTTATCTTCTATTATTAATTTTTTATAGTTTGATTTTTTATTTTAAAATTTAAATTTTTTAGTCCTTTCATTTTATATTTGTAAGAGCTTTAATTCCCCTTTAGATTTGATAGCAGTTTTTGCCAAAAGGATATTAGTAGTTGTGACGTGTAGTTGTCAATTTTATCCTTTTTAATTACAAGTTATTTTTGTTAAATTTTTAATTATTTTAGTAACTTATTATTATTTAAAATAACATAATTTAATAAAAACTCTAATCCATTCCATTTCTCCATTCAGTCAAGCTTATCACATTCGGGCAACTCCTTCTTTCATTTCTCCTCTTTGTGCAACTATGTCCACTCATTTGTCCCCTTCGTTTTCATTACCTTCTCCAAACCCTCTCATTTCTCTTCTTCTCCTTTTCTTGAATTATCTCATTCATTCACTCATGTCTAATTCAAGGTCCTCATCTTTTTGTAAATAACCACTTCAGTTTAAAAATAATAGGGAATAAATGTTGGTGTGACACTTAGTCACCATTAATGACATTATAGACCAACAAGGATCTCAAAAGAAGGTTTTATAGTTGTTGTTATTTTTGAGGTGATGCGGAAAAAAAGTTGTAATTATTTTTGAATAGTTTGATAATGAAATGAACAATTGTGCAAGTGAGGTTATTAGATCGTTGGTTATTAGATCGTTCAAAGACAGAAAAGATGAGCTTATGGAGATTATGAGTGACACATAGAAAAATGAAGATTTATTGAAGATGAAGAATACATTTTTGGTTTATTTTTTGGATTTTTCATTGATATTTTATATTGTTAATTGTGTTTGTATTAGTTGCAACACATGTATTGAAGTAATGTAATTGTATGTAATTTGTGTAATGTATTGACTTGTGTTATGATATTTATAAAGGAGCATGTGTAAGTTTAGAATGTTTTGTTTCATGAATGTTTATTGTAATGAACATGTTGGTGAAATGGAATTGAGGATTTTGAAACATGGTTCATACATAACATTTTTACTCTGTATGCAAAACATTTACATAACATACAAGTGCAACCTATAAAGTAAATATTGGAATGGAATAAAAATGTGCATCATATCTTTTATATATGTACCGATTTGCAGAATGTAAAGTAAATGTTGGAATGGAATAATAATGAAATAAAAATGTGCATCATTCGTGTGAATAATTGTGGTTGTGTCATATGAATAGTTGTGAATAATTGTGGTTTATAGATCAACTTTCTTATTTCAACATGTATCAGGTTAATTCATCAGTTGCTACAACATGTAACCAACACATGTTTCAGGATACAATACCTAATATACTATTTATTTAATTTTTATGTTACAAACCAGTACCCACAATGATGACTTCTCGACAAGTGTATTGATAATGTCGCAGTAATAAATTATCGAATCCACATGGACTGTGTTCGAACAAGACAGTAATTGTGCAATGTAATAGAAAACAATAAATAAAAGAGGGGTTTTCGAGTTTTAGTGTGAAAAGTAAATAAACGAGTAAACAATATCACGAAAGCGGTCAGATTGTGTTGTAAAATTCCATATTCCTCTATTGTTGATGTTCGATGCCCTGTATGAATGATATAATCACTATAACCCCATAACGAATTAACAACACAGTTATAGCTGATCCCTCACGAAATAAGTCACTAACCACTCAGATTAACAAAGTATCTAAAATAAAAAGTATTACAAACAAGAAACAATTGAATAAGATTATAGATCAATAGATTCAAACAATGGTCAAATCAACAAAGAATCCAACAATGTAGAATTAGGTTCATCATAAAACAACCTAACCTAGAAGAATTTAGCTACTCATAGTGAAATTAAAAATACAACAATCGATAGACAAAGATAACATAAAAAAACCCTTGAAGGGATGGCCTCCAATGGCTTCAAATGCTTTAAAAATCACCCATTGTGCTCTCTAATTCGTGCTTGAATCTCCAAGTTTCGTAACCCTTGTCACAATGCTGAAAAACCCCTTAAAAATAGCTCAGAACGCGTCAGAAAAAGCCCAGAAAAGTGTTCATCGCACATGTCATACCCCAAATTTATCCCACTCTTCCATTCAAATCTATATGGTTTTCGGATCTCATATTCCACATGTACATACCCTTCATTAGGTCATACATTTAACATATCATTCATCACATTTTGCATAGCACAATCATTAGGTCAAGGTTTGATAATAGTGGATTTAATTAGTTCAAGTGGATTTTCAAGGCGGGTCTTATTTGATAATTATTCGGTTTTATTTCCCGCATTGGTGCGAATCATCTTTTTATTTGAGATTCATGATTAGTTGGGAGATTCGACTGATTGTCACTCAATTAAGAAGTTTGCTTAAATTCAAAGAAAATGGGCAATGTTGGTACAATGCTTATTACTTGAGATACAAGTTGAAAGAATGGATTACAAGGAAAGAGAATAAAAAATTACATCAATTTGGTAAAGTTGACTTTTTTGTCAACTATTGACTTTCGGTCAACTTTTGACCATCGACTTTATTTTTATTCTCGAATTTTCCAAGACCACTCCCCAAAAACACTTAAGTACATAGTTTGATTCATAAAAAAGGTATGGAAAAAGTGGCAAAAATCCAAAGTAAAATCAAAGTAAATTCAAGCCAATTTCAAGTTCTAACCAAGTGACATTCACCTCACCTATAAACTTGATACTTATGCTAAACTCAAATATGTCTTGCTCTTAACTACCATTACCTACCTATTTTAACAGAAACCCATGCATTTATCCATTTTCTCTTAAACCTCTTAACTAACTTTAACTTCCTTAAAGTTCACAAACTAACACAAAATCAAACCATTTTTCATCAAACCTCAACCATCAATAACAATTAATCTAATGGCTAAGATTCATGATCTGCAACTAACATTTAGATTAATTCATAGCCGTTGATAAAATAATAACTTGGATCACAATCCAATGAACCAAAATTAACCAAAAAAATTTATATAAACCTTCATTTTTTCCAAATTTTTGGGATTAACCACTTTGAACCATTTTCCACCATTTTTGTTTCTAACCTCTAACTTTCCTCACAATCGTTTCACCATTTCCATAACCTCCACCAAAGTTCATCATCATCACCATCTAGAATTCCACATTGAAATTCTATATTTGGTGGAACTTAAGCACAAACATTCAACAATCATCATTCATTAAGATTCAAGCATGGATCACTTTTCTATCATCTCTTAATTTTCATCTTCTAATCATGAATTCTTGGAAGCTAATTGGAGATTAATCTTGAAGTTTTCTGTATTACACTTCAACACGCCAAATTTCAACATTAGCCGGAGCAAACCTCCGCTTTGTCGGTAATTCTTTATCTTTTCCATATTTTTGCCATGAATTGTTGGATGCTTGTTGGTTGATTTAACTTAAGCTATTATTTTGGAATTGCTTCTAGGATAATCACTTATTCTCACGTAAAACACATAATCTTGATGTCATACCCTAAATTTTGATCCTAAGATCCCACATCATTTGCATTTCATTAGCATGATACATGTGCATACCTTTTATGCATCACTAACCCATTTGGATATACAGAGATTGTTGTTTGTTTCATTTGGTTATCAATTAGGGTTTCAAACCTCAAAAGGGATCTAGGCAAAAGATCAATCAAGAATGAGCATTATCTTCAAATTACCCAGTCTTTTATTCATCAAATTAAGATCAATAGATCTCATCCATTAATAATTAAGCACAAATCTACATCATTTCAAGTCAATCAAGCCCCAAGTTCATATGGTACACCAATGAGG